GTCCCCTTTTGTGACTTTGTGACGAGCAGTCAATGGTGCAGATAGATTCCCTTAACCACCATGTCCTTAATTAACAACGGCAGTGATTCGCTTAACGGCGGTGGCAAGAAAAGCCGTAAAACGGGGCAAAGCTCACTTCACAACCGTCTCGCTTCGCGGCAGGAATTTGGGCCTCCATTGCGGTTGTACGTCGAGGACTCCCTGCAGCTAGTTGAACCTTACGCTTGGGGAGTCTGTTTGTTTCAGGCCTTCTAACCTCGCCGCCTGTTTTGTTTTGCGACAGAAATGAACTGTGACGTGTGGAAAGCGGCCCCCGTGAGGTCTTCCAGCTGCTCCAGCAGCAACCACAGTGGCGATGGGAGCTGGGATCCCCCGAGTGACTTTTCCACCCCCTCCACCCCTTCACCGCCCCTGACCGCCGACATCACGACCAGCATCCTGTCCTCCCTGCAGTCCGACCTGGAGGAAACGGAAGCCACCCAGTTTCTCTTTGGGGAGCCAGTACCCAGGAAGAGGAAGGTGAGAAGGGTGTGTGTGTGATGACCCGGGGCGTGTGACACAAAAATAACACAGTCACCAAAGTAGAATAAATTCCCTTTAATGCCTCCAACTTGGCCTCCAGTGTCCAATTATACTCGGCTGGATAACAGACTCTTCCAAAAACAGTCTACGGAGAGAGTAAATGCAGTCCAAACCCAAAGTAAAGATAATCAGAAATAAAAAAAAAAATACAAACCACACTGAAGTAATTAACACGGCAGGCCAGGATGATAAATTGCAGACTTCCGCAAGATAACACCGCAACCACAGTTGGGAGGACGCCAAAACCCAGATAAGCCGAAGATAATGCACGCTTTGCTTCCAGCAAAGAGTTGTGTAGAATGCCCCACTTATATCCTGTTCTCCCAGCTGCAACTAATGATAGGGATCAGGGCCTTTTTCTCTCCCGTAAGCCATGTTGCTCCCTTCTCCGTTCCTCTCTGCCTGCCCTAGGATGAAGAGGGGATGGCCTTGGGTCTTCCTCTGAACTCCCTCTCCCTTGTTCTCCCTCTCCCCTGCTCTGCCCAGCCGGGGTTTGCCCTTCCCCAGTTTCCTCCACAGCCAACAGAGTCACACTCCCACTCCCTTGTCAGCTGTCCGTCTTCCTCCTCGGATTCAGACTCCGACAGGGGCATACGACATCACTCCTTGATTCCATTATCTCTTTGAGTTTCTCTCTAGTTTCTTGGGCCGCAGAAGAGATGGCGGGGAAAATTAAATAGTCCAGGGATCTGACCGATGGTAGGATTTGAATCTCCAGGAGGACCTTTGGAATCCTGAGACGGAGTGAGAGGTCCACCTTGGGCGGCACCAGACCTAAGCTGCATGTTCTCACGTTACAGAACTCCACGAAAGTGATGTTCAAGTGTTTGTGGAAGAACTGTGGGAAGGTCCTCAGCAGTTCCTCGGGGATGCAGAGGCACATCCGAGCCATTCACCTGGGGTAGGTCAGCCTCTTGGTCATTGGGAAGACGCGTCTGTGTGGTGGCAGGCATGAATAGGTTGACTTCTGAGAAGGGAGTTCCACAGGATCTACCAACTGGCTTCCCACCACTAAGATCTAAGGTGGTTTGTTTTATTCTGCACCTGGCCGAGTCAGGTCATGGGTCTGTTTAATGCAGCCTCTGCAGGGTCTTGTGGCGGCTACCGGATGACCTTCAGAAGCGCACCAAGTCTGGGTTGGGGGGAAGGGAGTGGACAGAGCCCTTTCCCCACTATAGCTCTTAGCAGCAAAGACTAAAATAGATTGACTGTGATTCAGGGTTAGGAAAGTGCCCATCAATAATCATAGCAAGGGCAATCTGGTCTTCATGGATTCCCCTTTTGAAGCCATCTAGGTAGGCTTCCGTTAGAATCATCGTCCACCAGATGCTGTTTCCTGGGGAGGGCTACGTGTGTATAAAGGGGGTGCCATGGTTGAGGAAACTCCATTGTTTATAGCCCCCTGCCTGGCTTCCTTTGAGGAGGACGTCTGAAGAAGGACCCACAAAGATTTCAAATGGTTGGGTGGGAAATTCGCCCAAGTGGGAGTTATGCATGGGCCAAAGACTACCAGCGATGATACTAGAAAGGAGGTTGAGATTACACCAAAAAAGAGAAGATTGATACCAGAAAGGAGAAGGTTGAGAGGATACCAGAAAGGAGAAGGTTGAGATGAGGTTGAGGATACCAGAAAAAAGAAGATTGAGAGGATAGCACAAAGGAGAAAGTTGAGGTAACACCAGAAAGGAGGAGATGGTACCAGAAACGAGGTTGAGAGGATACCAGAAAGGAAAAGGTTGAGATGAGGTTGAGGATACCAGAAAAGAGAAGATTGATACCAGAAAGGAGAAGGTTGAGAGGATACCAGAAAGGAAAAGGTTGAGATGAGGTTGAGGATACCAGAAA